TGTGCAAAATGATGTAAAAATAAACTTTTTAATAAAAAAAATTAACCGGTAATCCAATAAGATCTTTTAAAATCAAGCTTCACCTTACCTGGAATCCAGCCACTGCATAAATAATACCTAACCCATCTGGCAGATGAAGAGAAATGGGAGAAAGGAGAGGAGAAGGGGGATGGACACAGTGAGCAACCTAACCTTGCAGTCCCCAAAGTTCAGACTTATGGACAGAACCTGATTGCTGGTGTAATGGGGGTAACACCTGTTAAGAGACAATTTTTTAAACGCACACTAGAATTTAGATCCTGAAACGCAGAAGATGCAGTAAATAAAGCTACCACCAAGAGTCCAGGCTTGGGCAGGTCCTTAAAGAGCCTCTGCCTCCTTACTCATGCCACGGCTAAGTCGTCAGTGGCCTGCCCCCCACTACTGAGTAGGGCTCAGGCCCCCAGCACACTCCGCTCTCCTCCTGCAAGGCCAGTGGCCTCCTGTCAGACCAGCAAATCTCATTCCCGGTGCACACGGGATCACAAAGATAGGTCCTTACCGAGGGGCATAATGGAGAGGTATTTTCCTCGGAACTTGCTGGTGATTTTGATCTCCTGACGCAACGTCCAGCCGTTTCTGGACTCAGCGTGGTGCGCAGCAGCGGGGGGATGGTGACTCACCTTGAAGAGACCAGTGTTCAGATGAAGGTGCCTTTTAACTGGTGGCAAACACCCCAAATTCACACTTCACATTTTTACACCCATCACACAGAGACTACCACAGCCCCGCTGGGCAGGCCCTCGGGAGAAATGGGAGCCCGGGACGGCAGCGAGCAGACTTCTGCACAGGGAAGCCCTAGAGGAGAGGTGCCTCTGCCGAGGTGCCGTTACCTGCTCGCAGAGGGACCGATACCCACTCTCCTCTAATCGGTCCAGCTCGAAAGTCTCCCCAAGGAGTGGATTGAATGGCTTGCTGGTACGGAAGACAGTGGTGGAGTAGGAGGACACCGTGAAAGCTGCGACATAGCAGAGCTGTTCTAGAGAGTTCTCACACTTTGCAGCCCTGTCTAACAGCTCGTGGTATTCCAGATCTTCAGTGAGGCGCTGAAGCATGGATAAGGGCTCATTAAAGTTCACCTGTGAGGAACAGAAGAGATGTAAAAACTTTGCCCTCCTCGCATCTAGAAGAGACCCGTTTAATTTTTCTTTTTTTTTGCCTGTGGAGAAAGATTTCAAGATGGCAAAACAATCAAGCAAAACACTGGGAAGAGACGAGGCCTTTGTCGTAGAGCCAAGCCGCGTACAAGGCTCTCCCTGGTCAGCTGTCTGTACGGGGACAGCCATCACCCTCGCACCCCTGACGTCAGCCTTTGAGACTGGAACCACGTCGCTCATCTCTTCCGCTCTCTAGTGCTGTCGGCCAGTGCCTGGCCCCAGAGACCGTCATCGTAGGTATCGAAACAGATGAATGGAAGAGGAAGTGGAATTGAGCACATGTATAGGCAGAAAAGGAGTTAAGTACTGAAAACCCTCAGGCAGGAAAGAAAGGACAGTAAATTTTGAGCTGAGGCGTGTCCTGACTGGTGAAGAGATGCCGTCACAGAAGTTCGCCTCCACTCCTGAACAGTGGCCCAGCCTCCCTCCACGCCACTCTCCACCCGGCGCGGCTGGGCCCTCGGCTGTGCCCACTTCGGGGGCCGCGTTTCCGCCTCCCAGGCTGCGAGCCCACCTGGGCGCTCAGCCACTGGGTGAAGCAAGCGTGTGGCTGGGACTGGGACCAGTTTATTCATTCACTTATTCACGCATTGGCCCTCACATGGGCCAGGTCCCTGCCAGCCGCTGGGTATAGACAAGAAAGCAAGAGACACCTCATCTCCCAGCCCTCCGTCTCCAAAAAGAGTCAGTTTCGAAAATGACTGCTTGGATGTAAGGTGACTTGACTTTAATAAACTACTATGAAAAGGGGGTTAGCTTGCAGGCCCGCCCATAAAGGCCAATATAATCGACAGCATACAGAACTCACGAGCCTGAGTTCTGAGTCCAGAGAACAGAGGAAGAAAAACAATTTCCTTTCTGTTGAATGGAAATTCAACAAGAGCAACATTTCAGTTGAATAATAAACAAAAGTAACACTTTTCCTCCCTATAGTCCCACCAATTTTTCTGCATTTTTTTCAAATCTACCTGTCAATCTGTCTACCCTAACATTGACTTCCTCCAAATATAAAATATTTTTCTCCTTAACAAATGTTGAAACAAAGTAGAAAGGAAAAAATGTGCTTGACATGCCATCACTCAAAAATAACCATTATCAATATTTTGTGTTTCTATACCTTTTTAAAAATACATGATGCGTTAGAGCTGTCTGTCCTCTGAGACACAGACCGAGCATCAGCTCCAGGGGACCCGGAGCTGCAGGGCTGCCTCCAGACCCTCCTCTGGGAAGCAGAGCCCCCCACCTGACCGGAACATGCCCCTCCGAAGCCGCCACCTCGGCACCAAGAAAGAGCAGCACAAAAAGTGTGCACAGCGGACCACAGCCAGATACGCCTCAGCCCTTCGAGTCCTTTCTGAAGGGGGTGCTTGTTAACCACACCAACGAAATGTCTCTCTGGCAGATTTTCAGGCAACACGATGAGACACTTCCACATTTTGAGGACAACAGAGGATGGGTGGTGTCTGCCACCAGTGGCTACAAACTTACCCGCCCCGCCTGGACTAGACTCGGGCATCGCTGCTTTATGCACACGTGTGCTCACGTGACGGACACAGACGGATACAGACATAGACACACACACGGCCCGGAACCTTTCACCTCAGAAACTGTGCCAGGAACTATATAGTTTCTCGTATTAATCATTTCTATCACTCAGAGGCCTATCAGGGAGAGAAATGAATCCATACACTTTAAGTGCAAACAGGAAATCAGAGTTGAACCCCCAAAAAAGACAACCCTGACATGCAACAGCAGGAAGCCATGACCACCGGCCGGGTGCAGGGACACAGGCCAAATGGTGGGGCTGCTGGAGCCAGAGGGTGCAGGCAGCTAGCAGAAGCGAAAACCTTGGGGAGTTGTGCAGTGAGAACCAGCAGCTCACAGCTGCTGCCAGAGTCCTGCACCGAAGAACCAAATGGAGGGAAAAACCCTGGGGTTCCTGGCTCCCTCAGGTGCCAGCACCCTGTGCCAGCAAACGCGGAGGCCGGAGAAGCTGTGTGGAGGGATCGGCTTTCCTGGGACGCAGCGCAGAGCAGGGCAGGACCAAGACTGCCAGCACACAGGTCCAGGCCGAGCGCTCCTGGTGGCAATGTCAACAAGGAACTGATGGTAGAGGAGGACAGAGAGGTCACCTGGATTCAGGTGCTACCGTTCAATGGCACTGCAACCCCGAGGCTACAAGGCCACCTCCCTTTCACTTCCTCATGGCACCACATGGGCACGGCTGCTCTATAGGCACCGGCGAACCAGTTTCCCCGGTGTGCTTACTCGCAGCCGATGCATGTCCACAAGTCCAGATTTTTCTAACAGAACCCTACACACTAACACTGAAATCTATGTGTTATCCAAGACTCAGTTAATGACTGACTTCAATGTCTGCCCCACTGCACACACAGGCCAGCTGCTGGCCAGGCATCAAGGGTACGAGACCGGAGGACACAGCCCTGCTTGTGAAGGACAGTCACAGAGGCAGACGCCACACTGGTCCTCAAGACCCAAGAGGAAACGTGGTGCTTTCTGTGCTTCTGTGGCCAAGCGCCTGGCTGTGGCAGAACTTGTAGCCACCCGGTCTGTCAGAGTCGTTCCGCTCTGACAGAACCGCCAGTGTTCTACTAGGCCATGCCCCCCAGAACTGAGGCCTCCCTTCCAGCCCCTTCTCCAGCTTCCTGCGACTATCGAACCCAGTTCTGGCTAAAGAAACTGAAGTGAGTGGCTTCTGCAGTCCGACGAAACACCCTTGCAAGGCAGCACCACGTTCCTTATTCCTGCTCGCTGGAGTGAGGAGCTGGCGGCCCCAGCTGGAGCAACCATTTGAAAACTAGGAGTTGAGCCCACAGGTAGCAAAGCAACAGGACAGAGAGGAAGCCAGTCCTGACACTGTAGGATCCCCAAGCGCCGAGAACACCTCCTCTGGACTTGAATACAAGAATGGGAATGAGCGTTTGCTTAAGGCAGGGTCGAGGCAGTGTTTTCTGTAAAGGGATAAACAGTACGTGTCTAGGCTCTGAGGGCCCACGGGGTTCCTGTCCCAGCTACTCGGCGCAGCTGGTGAGGAGGAAAACAGAGCAAGTGAACGAACCGCTCTGTGTTCCAACAGAACGTCATAGACACAAACACCAAATTTCATACGGAGTCTCACTATTTCACGATCTTTTCCCCACCCATTTGAAAATAGAAGCTTATTCTTCACTTGGGGGCTGTACAACGGCAGTCAAATTTGACCCAAGGCCTACAGTGTGTTACCAAGTGATTACTGAGGATTTGTCTCTTTAAACTGAACCCATCTCTGGCAGCTTCACACAACGCCGGGCAGAGAGCAGGCGCTCGGCAAGGGCCTGTGGAGAGAACAGTGAGCGCTCGCCCATGCCCAGCCACCAAAGAGGGAACATTAGGGGAGCGACATCTCCCCTGAGCAAACACATGGGTGGAGGTTTGCTCAGAGAGGACACCAGAGCTGACTCCTGAGAAGGGTATTAGCCGTGGCAAACACAGGTGTCAAGGGTGGAAGAGAAGTCCGGAGTTCAGGCAGAAAGAGCAGGTCACGCAAATGCAGAGGAAAAACACAATGAGGTGCCTGAGGACCTGAAGGTGACTCCCAGGGACCGGGCCTGGGCATGGGAGGGTGGGGCCTCGTCTGTGGGGAGGAAGCATCAAGTCCACTAAGGAACCTGGACTACCTAAGCAGTAAAGATCCAGGAGAGAACGCTAGCCTAGCGAGTGCCGTGCCCACATTTAATTTTAAAACTCACTCTGGCAACAGTGGGACCAGATTGGAAGATTGTGACTGGATGGAGACGGGGAGGCCGGCGTCTTCACCATGCAGGTCTCTCACCCTCCTGGATGACAGTATCTTGCTCCTGTGCCCAACCTCTGCACTGCTCTCCCACTGCCATCAGAGCAAACGGTGGTCTCTCCCTGTCTCCTGTATTCTTGTGTACATATTTCATGTACATGCATTCATACCTCTTTTAAACTACATGCTTCGTGAAAACAAAAACTCTGCGTATAACTCTGCAGGGCCCCAGCGCAGCCACAAGGGAATTTGCTATGATTGAGCAATGCATCTAAACCTTGGTGGTCTGGAAACACACCAGATCCGCCGCGGATTTTCAGGAACAGCCCAAGGGTAACAAAGACCACGCCACAGGTGCCATGGAAGGGGTCCGGCGAACCCCTCCGCACTGAGGCTGGAGCGCCCTCCCACAGCAGCCCTGGGGCGCAAGGGCCTCACCGGCATGGGAATCTTGGAGAGCTCTTTCCCAATGCAGTTCTTCATTATGCTCCATAAATTGAGACTGTAGTTTGGCTTGTATGGTATTCTAGTTCTCTTTTCTTTCTTGGTCTCTTCCAGCTGATGTTTGTACTGGGAATAAAAACAAAGCCATTCAATGACCCACAAAGAACAGAAAACCCAGTATTTATAACTAACCCTGAGGCCCCCAAGCTACAAAGCTCAGTATTTTCTGTTTCCCTTAGCACTATTCAAGCAAAGCCTAGAGAGTTACATCCAAAGTCCCTCACTGCATAACTCCCAAGTAAGAATTACCTGCTCATCGAGACTGATGTCGCTGCTGGCTCCACTGATGTTGCTGCCGGTGCGTCTACAGGATGGGACAGAAGAATAAGGGTGAGGACCAGAACTGCAGTCTGGTCTCTTGGCATCTTTACAGAGCAAAGTGCTAAGCAGAAGGCACACACTTCTCGATGGTGCCTGAGAGACAACGCTCAGGACAGGACACACATGAACGTGAACACCACTGGGAAATGTGTGCGTGCAGAAGGCCGGCAGAGCCCAGGCCGGCAGGGCCCAGGCCGGCAGGGCCCAGGCCTTCGCGCAGCGCAGGAACTGCGATATGCCCCCGCTGAAATGCTTCTGAGCTTTGCAGTGTCAGGTATGTTTACCTGGGGGGAGACAGGAATAACTTACTTGTGGCCCAGATTTTCAGGCATGGTGATGATCTCAGGGGCATCAAAAAATTCATTCTCGTCATCCTCGTCGCTCATGTCTCCTTTGCCTGAGCAGCACTGATCTACAAGGAGAAAAGCCCCATTCATGTACTCTGGTGGCATGAACCAAAGGTTGGCTCAGGGGGACCTCTTAAACACTAACCACAAACGAGCAACAAATGGTGGAAAGCAGGGGAAAGCCAGGAGAAATAAACAGTGCCAATTTCATGTCACATAAATCATTGATTCCGGAGAGTATGGAGTCTTCCATCAATCGCAGGCAACCACCTGGCTCACACCAGAATAGGCCACCCAAGAACCGAGCGTCTCACCTTTGCCGGAGCTGGCACTGCCTGGAGTGTTTGCGGGCAGGACCGTGGCGCCTCGGAAGGCCCTCTCCAGATGGTTGTGCTGCTTTGCCAGCTGCTCGAGGGTCTCTTCCAGCCGGATACGCTGGTCTCTTTCATACTGTAGTGACTTCTGCCATTTTTTACTATGGGTCTGAGCTAACACAAGGAAATCTCTGCAGGCCTGGATGGAAAAAAGTCAGGAAGTGTCACATCAACTCAACCAGCAGTGTCCCCCAGGGCCTCTGTACACCCATTCGTAACCTTATTTTGGGAACTTGAGGGGCAAGTTACAAGGAAAGACCTTCTCTGTTATCCTATAGTATCAGGGACAGACAGCTCCATGAAGCAATCAAGGTCAAACCCAGGAAAAAAACTGAATTTATGGTTGTCACGCCTCTTTCCTATTTTCCTGGTCATGAGGACTGAACAAATGCCAAGCAAGCAGTAAGCCTAGACAAAGTATCTGTCTTCACATAGGGCAGGTAACACAGGGCAACTTCACACAGGGTAGGCAACGTGAAGAGAAGGTGGAAAGGCACAGGGTGACCCTTCTGATAAATACCCCAGTAAACTCAAGTCACCTCGTTGAGGAATTCAGGCACTAAGATGAGAGAATCGGCACTGAATTGACCAAATACGGGAAAACTTGCTTTGTTTTTATTTTCATCACTAAGAGAAACAAGTGACCTCAAAATGAGAAGGCTCCCCAAGGAATCCAAGAAAGGCCTCAGGACACGCACCCAGTCAGGCCATCCCCTCGCGGGGAGCAGCACACCGCCCCCCTACTGCTCAAGAACACTGGCTTGGATTTTCCTCCCCAGACAGCTGTCGCCACCCTGCACCCCACATGCAGCGCCGCCCCTCGGGGCTGCTCCCCATTGCTGGGACATACCTGTTTGCCAGGCCTGCCCACCACAGGAGACCCTATCGGCTCTGCCCATTCCTACCCCACTTTGGCCAAACCCCCTTTACTGTCCAGGACGCAGGCACAGGTTGATCTGCTGTGACTCCCAGGTGCTCTCGCACTCCGCACTGCTGCCAGGCCCACAGCGGGCCGTGACGGAGCTTCTGTCTCTCTACATGGACTGAGCAACCTGAAAACCAGCGTATCGCTCATGTGTAAACATATTTCAGCTCCTAACTCACCTGTCTTGTACATTCTAGCTTCCTTATAGTCTGCTCAGGAGACATGAAGGACGCAAAGTCAGCTTCAGCACTGATGCCCCGTCACAGGAAAACTGTAGGCAACGTCTGCCCCATGACTATCGCTGCGCGACTGCCAGGTCGGTCCTTCCAGCCCTGGGCTCGTGGAGCCTCGGGCCAGACCTCCCAAACGATGGTACAAGTAATGTCAGCGTCAGCAGGCCCCAGGCCGGACACGCCCCGTTCCCCTTCCGCCTCGGCAGCTCCCCTTGGTGTCCCGGCTCGGGGATTCCAGGGCCCTCTGCCTGCTCAGGCAGAAACCTGAAGGGGCTCAATTCTGAGTCTTTCTTCCTTCCCCCTAGTCTAACTACTGAGTGCTACTACGTCTCCTTCAATTTAATAATTAATTCTTTAATACCTTCTGAAATCCTCATCTCCCTCCGGTCTCCATGCTCAGAGGCCGTGCAGGGTGCGTACTCTATCGCTGGCCAATAAGAGCTCAAATCCCAGCTCCATCCAGTCACTCTCTAGCTATGGATTTTGGGGTGGGTTATTAACCTTTCTGTACCTCATCTTCACCTGTGAACACCTCAGAGGTGCAGCTTTATGTGTGAAGCACCTAGCACCCTGGCAGGCGCACAATGAGGAAAGCCGGCAGGTCAGTCTACATCATCACCAGGCTGGTCCTCTTCGAACCCGCTACTACCAAGCGCGTTTAGGACAACCTGCGTCCCCTCCCCGCCCTCCCACTGAACTACAGTCTCATCTTCGGCTACTTCCTTGCTCTACTAATAATCAATTACAAGCAGTTTTCAGACTTCGTGGGGTCTGGGAGGGGCGCACATACGCCATACTTCTACCTGGGTCAACTCTTCGCCCATACTTTAATTATACTGACGGTAACGAAAATGCAACGAGAGACAATTACATGCCTGACACTTTGCTGAGCACTCTATTTTAACTATGTAATAAAAGCCTTTCACCCACCCTGTAGCCACCCCGGTATCACCGCCATTTACAGCACGGAATGGAGGTCACAGAGGAAGCAGGACGCCCCGCTTACACAGATCAGGCACTGGGGTCGCTGGCCTCCAGGTCACCAGGCTCCGCACTGCCTGTCTGCGCAGGAAGCTTCGCCGGTCCCTGAGAAATATTCCAGCGCTTTCTTTCTTTGATCCTCTGAATAGAGCTAGAGGCCTCCAGGCTTCTGTGCCTCTGCAGCCCTGCTCACGTCCACCCTGTCACTCGGCACCTGCAGCGTCTCTCCGCTCACAGAGCGTTATTCCGAGGGCAAGGGCTGCGTCTGCATTTTTTTTTTTTTTTTGCCTCTGTTGTGTGTCCCCTAACGTAGGCTGGAGAAGGTACTCAACAGATGTCCACTGCATCAGCAAATGCACTCGCTGCAGGGTCAAATTACTCCCTCGCTGGACTCACTTCAGTAGTAAGAAGAGCTGTGCCCTAAGCGCGAAACGAAGTCTCCCTTTGACAGAACTTGATCTGCGTAGGGAAGTGACACCCTAGCATGTGAATTTTTAAGATCCACCTTATACCTGAGTTCTCGCCATCGCTTCCCTGCAAGGTAGAAAGGAACAAGCGACAAACACTGCGCTGCAAGCCATAACCAGTGGCGAAAGGGGCAGAGGTGGCTGGCCAGGGAGAACAGAGAAAGCAAGATGACCCCTAGGGGCTGTCCGCTTGACACAAACTCGAAACAGAGCACTTGGGAAGAACTGCCTCAAGGAATAAAACTACGCGTATTTCAAAAGAAAATTCCAAACCAAAGTTTCCGTTTCTATGGAAAGTTTTAAGTCAAAAGAGGTTTTATTTAGTAAAATTTTCACATCGGAGTCGAAATAAACCGTCAGAGAGTAGGGGGTTGGCCTGACGTGGATAAAGGGCACAGTCACTAGCAGGGGCTAGTTGACCAGTTTGATGTTTGAGGTTTTCCCGATCACAAGAGGAAAAACAGGCGCCAGGCCCAGAGAAGAGTTTGGAAACAGAGCACATGACGGGACATCAGAAACATAAGCACAGGGCTGATTTGGAGGGTGCTCTTGGGAGACAGCCAGGCTTCCCGCAGTCCCGAGGTGGACACAGTATGTCTCCATCTTGTATGAACTGAGCACCAAAGAAGGCTTTTTCAAACTTCAGATAATAAGAAAATAACGGCTATCATGACTCTCTATTCAGCAACAAAAAAGTTTCAAATAAGAAAAACGAAATGTTCCCTTGTTTGCAGGAAAGGACCTTCGATCTGCAGAAGCTGTGTGAAAGAGACCAGCTCTCAGCAAACTTCCTACTATTACTCCCTAAACAAGAAAAATCTGGCCCAAGTGAAGTAATTTTATCCCACTTGGGTAGGAAAAAGCTCCTACACAAGCCTGTTCTTCCAGAGCACTTTTTTCCTTTCCCTATGACAGCCTCGAGTGCCCTTCCAGGGTTGCTGACAGAAACAGCCCGCCAGTGAGGCTCAGGCAGGAGCAGAGGACACCCGGCACGTTTGAGAGCTGCGCTCAGTTCACACCCACCAGCTGTGTGTGAGCCGCCTCACAAATGTCAGCCAGGCTTTGGGTTTGCCTTGAGCTCTGCACCCAAACAGCAGGTTTCCACCAACCACACCCACAATTCCACAACAGCACCCAAAGCAGCAGTCATAAGGAGGCACGAGTGCTGACCCCATTTTTTCCTTCCTGCCCAGAATCCCCTCTGAAGTCCGGGCCAATATGGTGGGCTTCTCAGCCTCTCTGGTACTTGACCCCACCCACTGACACATGGAGGGCCAACATGTCTTAGCAATCAGGGGTAAGGTTCCAACCTACAGTTCAAAGAACATGACAGCAGAAAGAACCCAGGCAGACTTTTCGGTTACCACAGGTAAGGTTAGACTAAAAAAAGACAGGGAAACCCGCAGCAGAGCGGTGAAGGGGTTCAATCAGCATCACCTTCCGAGGTCCTGCTGGTGGCAGAGCTGAACTCTGGACACCTCACTCGCTCCCAGCAGCAATGTCCCCGGAACAAATCAAAAAGCAAGGCACACGCTGCCCGCACTTACATTGATCATGGCATTGGAAGTTATCCTGAAGAGCGTGGCCCGCTCGTTGACCTGCTTGATCTTCTCGTTGCTCTCCGCGGGCAGCCTCAGAGCCTCGAGCTCGCTGAGTGAGCGCTGCAGCGCCGTGCCGTGCTTGGCGATCAGGTCGTTGCAGGTGCTCAGGTCCTCCACTTTGCTGGAGAGGGTCCGGAGGGTGTTCTGCAGCTCTGTCTTGTCGGTTTGTGAGACAGACTCCTCATCTCCAGACTCGTCTGTAGGGTGGAGCATAGAAGCTAAATGACTTCAGGCCCCGGCTGAGCCCTACTGACTCTGTCCACCAGCAAACTGGCGCTGGCCACCGTCAGACAAGCATCACCTTTGCCCTGGGGTGCACGACGCGGATTTATTTTGCTCATGCTCCCCTCGCCCCCCACACCAGTCGTGCTGGGACAGCGCTGCCTCAGCTCGCACTGTGCAAGGCGCAGGCGCAGCAGGATGAGCTGACTTACGCACGTCATGAAACGATTACTGCAAGCTTAGCTCACATCAGCATCGCACCAAGATAAAAAACAACTGATTTCTTTCTTGTGATGAAAACATTTTGAATCTGTTCTCTTAGAGAGGTTAACTGCAGGCACCACGCTGTACATGACATCCCCGGGACTTAAGACATCACACCAGAAGTTTATGCCCCTTGGCCGCTTGGGCCAGTCCTTCCACCCACTGCCTGGCCCTCGGTTCTCCTTAAAGGTGCAGTCTGTGGCCCTCCCCCAAAGGCTGATTTGGCTGGTGAGAGGCAAAGGCCAGGAATCTGTATTTCAAATAAGCTGCCCAGGTAACTCTGATGACCCTGCAGTTTGACAACCAAGGTGCTGGAGGACAGAATGGAGACACTAAGCGGCTCTGCACTGGGAAGCACGCATGAGCCCTCTTACTCTAGCCTGAGGGTGTCAGTCCAGCCTGAGCTCTGTGGGGGTGATCAATGGGCTGCGAATCTAGTTCTTCGCAAGCAAAATCCACATCACCAGAAAACCTCATTATTTAGTTCGTCTGAAAAAGAACTCTTACTTCAGGATGCGCTCACTTGACACCAGAGTCACCAAAGCAGGCGAGGCCTTCTGCTGAGCGACCCTCCAGTGCAGGCCAGCAGCGCGTGGCACTGTGCCTCCCACTCTCACGTATACTTAACGTTTTGTAGCTGCAAAGTGCTTTTCCAGCAGTGTCACTTCCTTTGGGGGAGCTAACATCAGCACTAAAATCAAAACAAAGACCTGCCTGGTTTGTGAGACAGCGAGGCAGAGCTGGAGTAAAAATCCAGCCTGTTACCCAAAAATGACAAAGCAGGGGTCTTCCTTTCACTGTTTAATAGAAATGATGGACAGTATGGGAAAGACCAGGGAGAAGTAAAACAAGGTTGCCAGGCTCTCCTGGCCAGCTCTCAGTGAGCAAATGCAGTATGATGTAAATTAGCAACATGGCGGGTGGGGGAAAGCTCATCAGTTTTCTTTCAGAAAATTCAAAATATAATTAGATTGTTCTTGGTTCCTGAAACCATGAGCCAAAATGAAGATTTGTCATAGAAAATATCACATATGATGCTTCTGCTAGTGATTGTTTTGATGCAACTAATAAAAAGTTAAGAAAATGTATCAGAAGAAATAAGCAAGGGCAGATGTAAGGTGCAGTTCAAGACTGAAATGGCAATATGTAATTCTTTCTCAAAAATTTAAGGTAGTCAGGCCCTCACTGGTGGTGCAGCAGGTTAAAGCACCACACTAAGAAGCTAAAGCCACCTCAGCATGAGTTCGATCCCCGCCCTGGAGCTGACCCACATGGCGCGGCAGACCTCTCCTGACCCGCCCGCTGCTCCCCTCAGCAGTGTACTTCGACAATCTGCCTGTTCTGCTCCCCACTCTGTCTCTGGTGAAGCCTCTCACCACCCCTGCACCTCTGGCCTGTACCTCAGTTCTGTATGCACAAATAAATAAAAATCCTAAAAAAAAAAAATGTTTAAGGTAGTCAACTAGCTACTATTAGAAGCCAAATGACAAATATTTGGCTTCTAGAAAAGCCTTTCAACCTCAGCACAACTGACACAACTGACTGGGCTCAGTAGTACTTTGTTGTGGGGAGCTGTCCTGTGCATCCCCCAAAACAACATAAGTAGCATCCTTGGTCTCTACTCACAAGATGCCCAGAGCATCACCACTCCAGCTGTGGCAACACAAAGTGGCGCCAGACATTGCCAAATGCCCCCTGTGAAGGAGCAACCACCGACTGCCACTAGGCCCGGAGAAGCCTGGAGAAGCCCGAAATAGTTGCTAATTAAGGACAAAGGGGCAAAGTTGGCGGGCATGGCTTCTTCGCTCCATACCTGATTCTGCCAGCATCTTCACAGCCTTGGCCTTGGCCAGCTCCAGGGCCGTGACCCAGCGCTGCCGCTCCACCTCAGAGCTGGCCTTCAGGTGGTAGGTCTGCGCACCCCCGTTGGAAATGATGAAGTTACAGGAGTCCTCCACAGTGATGTTGGCCGTGGCCAGGTTGATGGTGCCACGGCAGGTGTGTCTCATTTCTGCCTTTGACCTGCGATTACGAGACAAAGACAAGCTGAGTACCAAGCCGAGGGGGTCATGCATCTCCACCGCCTTCCACTTCTTTTCATCACTCAAAGCTCTCTGAAAACACAGGAGCCTCAACCCTCACATTTTGTACTTCCTTTAAATGGTTCCCTGTCACTGAAGAACCAGTGGGTAGGGCTTTCATTTCTGGGCCTGCAAGTGTTCTTTCTGAGTCAGACTTTATGGATCTGCTGTTCCTCTTACCCTTCGTTTGTTGTTTAACTTGGGCTTCACTGAGGTGTAACTCCGTACAATATAAATTCAGCAATTTGAAATGTACAAATAAAAACAACTGAGTAACCACCTCAACCATCCTGATGGAAAGCATCTCCATCACCCTCTCTTGCAGTCAGAAATCACTTTTCAGTTAGCAAGTGGGGAAGTGCTTTACAAATTCATGCGACAAAGCTTCGGAGGACAGAGTCACTTCACACGTGCTGCGGAGCACCGCTCCCGTGCAGCTCCGAGGGATGGGAACCGCCACGCCACGCCACGCCACGCCACGCGCGCGTGGAGCGGCCACGGAAGCCGGCACCGAGGTGTTCAGCGCCGCCCACCGCTGCGTGCCTGACATGGAACAGGCAATACTAACTTTTCTGGGGGGCAAAGACAGCATCACCAGGTGGTATACTCTTTCTGGAATGTTTTTTCCTACAGTCCACCGACCTCTTTGGGTGGGAACTCCTCAGCCAACCTATTAATAGCTAGGGAAGATCCAGCAAATCTGTTCTCAGAGGACTGGGTGTAAAAATTTTCCCCACCTCTACTGACTGACAATTCTATTAATCGACTCACTTTTGAACTCTGCAGCACTCCTCAGTGACAACAGCTACTAAAATATCAATCTTCTAGCACAATAGCGTGAGGGGTGCTAATTTCCTTATCTCCTCTGGGTTAGGCCCACGGACCTGCATGTTGAGAACAGTTTTTGCTGCCCAGCTTGGAACATCAAGAGGTTAAAGTCCTTTGCCAATTGCCACAGTACAAAGCAGGGCCATTTCCCTTTCACTGGTGCCAAGCAGCCAAACACACCTGGCACGTCCAGAATTCCTGCGTGCCAGAAATGACACACACCCCATCTCCAGAAGCTAAGATATAGTGTGTTTCACAAAGTCTATTTACTGTGCCTAGGAAAACAAATTTGCTATTGTTCAGTTTGTCACATGAAACTGGTTTTTCTTCCTCAAATATCCAAACGAGCAGGATGGGATGGCCAGGGGGTCTCAAAGGACTGGGCCACTTTCCATCCCCTGCACCTGCCACACTGTAACCCGAACCCCTGTTTTTTCTATTCTTATCTCCCTTCCCCCGCCCTTAGCTTCTCTTACAGTATGAATAATGCAAATTCAAGTACCCACTTGCCCCTGGCAGGCCAGGTCTCCCTTGCTTTCTCCTCCAAAGACCACACTTCTGACGATGTGTTGGTACCTTTCACACAACACTCCCTAGGAATCTCTTCTCCCTGGCTCATCTTTATGAACTAAAAGAAGTCTCTCAAGTCACATTAAGTCTGTAGTAGCTTTACAAATATGGAGGAATCCTGGGAGTAAGGCAAGCTTGACCTCAGAGCTCTTGGGTTTGGCCAGGTATTCTGATGGCCGTAACTGACAGGTGCAGAAGCTAGAAAGGCATGATTCCTAGGGCGCAAGGTCAGTTCCTCACGCACTACAGTACTAGGTGGTATTTTCAGGCTACAGAGTTCCTCCTCCACGCACTACAGTACTAGGTGGTATTTTCAGGCTACAGAGTTCCTCCTCCCTGGAAGGCCAGCTGAAACTCAACCTCTAGAGGGTAGGCAGAAACCTTATACTGTGGGCCTGTCATGATGTGTCTGGGATGCCACATATGGTTTAAAGTAACTGGACATGGTGTAACTGGGTATGTAAGGAAGAGCAGGAGAGGCAAAAGGGAAAAGGGGCTTGCATTAGAACAGGTCAGGAAAGGATAGTCTAGTCAGCGCATGATCTCAGTTAAATACGGTTTTTGCAGAAGGCACACACAGGAGATGGCAGGTTTGAACGCCTAAAAAGCAGGAAGAATGACAATTTGGCTCTTTCCAAGGTGATGGGGAACAGAAGAACCCTGGAGGGAAGAAAAACTACCAGTGAACCTGTAGACATACTTCCATGATTTTGAGGGTAGTGCGTAGATTTGATAACTCAGAATCCTGAAGTTTTGTTGTTTTGTGGGAAGGACATCTTAGCTGGCATGCCAAGTCTCTGGCATATTTCCCAATACATGGTTTGGTATGTTTTGGAAGGAGTTTTATCTGTGGTTAGCTAGGTGCCTACCACTAGCTCTTGTAAGAGAGAAATTAGAAGGGCCCTCCCTGGTGGCGCAGTGTGTTAGAGCACAGCACTGTGAAGCTATCCGCAGCCACTGCAGCACAAGTCCATCCCTGGCCAGGGAGTGACCCACATGGCACAGCAGACCTCTCCTGACCCACCTGCTGCTACCTTCTCTGGTCTATTTCAGTCAATCTGCCTATTCTGCTTCCCATTCTGTCTCTGGTGAATCCTCTCACCCCCTGCACCCCAGTGCCTTTATGCATAATAAATCCCTTAAGAAAGAGAGAAATTAGAAGTGGTGACAAGTACTTGAAGAGACAAACAAGTTATTATATCCAGCCAAGATCAATAATGGTCAAGGCTACACCCATCAAAGAGCCAACAGCCTGCAGAGTGGATTAGTAAGGATCTCAGCTGGCACACAACTTCATCTTTTGAAAATGGTGAGAGCTAAATTAGAACATGAATCAACTGCACATTAGAATAACAATCAATGATAACAGGAAAGCAGGGTCTCGAGGAGGGGGAAAGCTCCAGAGCAAATTAAAACTTTAGATTTGTGATCTAACCTTAGAGAGTCCAGGCTGAGTAATTAGAAAGGGTCACAATTAAAAGCTATTCAGACTATACTAATGCCAATGACAGACACAACTGTCACAATGTCACTCAAGCAGTGAGGATGAGTCTGGAAGGCATTTTCCACTGTTAGAGACTATACAAAAATGGGTTCCTACTTCACCTCTAACTCCCACCTTACATTTCCTCTCAACACTGTTAAGGGTTAATACAATGGAGTTGATGCAAAAGGTTCGTCAACTCTCAGGTGGTGCCAGAGCAAGTCTGACTGAGAAAAGAAACACAGTGAGTTCACCTTACCAATGGTGTTTCATGAAAAAAAGAATCCGATTAGAAATATCATTACATTATGCAAGGTGTCCCTGAAAGGAGACTTTATACATTCTGTATAAAATATACATAGTAATCAGGACCTAGAAACTTACTTGCTATATATGTAATTACCTCTGTATCTGACTGACTCATGAAACAGTAACCTGGACTTTAGGTTATGTTGGTGTGCAAAGAAGTAATTTCAAATCCTGACTCTTCCACACCTTGGGAAATCTGCCCAAGCCCGTCTCAGTTTTCTCCTCAGTAAAATGGGAATACCTCCTTCCTCCCTGGTTGCTGCTGGTGTCCACTAAATACTGGATGTAAAATACCTACCCAGGCTAGCTCTCAGGAGCTGGTCCTGTTCTGTCTCCAAATCCTGTATCTTAACCCCTTAATCTATAGTAACATGAGCAGCCAAACTGCATATTGTTAAGGGAAGACCATGAGTCACCCTACATGCATATTAAACACGCCAAGACAAACATTGTCAAACAGAGGAAATGAACCAGAGATAGGGATTCTTTCCCTAAAACTTAAACGTCAGCAACCTGAGAGACCCCAAAATATTGGAGAGATCTCAGAATCACGCCTTCTCACGGGAGGCTGTGGGGCAACAAGAAGTGAAACACTGGATGCTCGTCTCCGTCGGGAGCTGGCAGGAGGGCGAATGCACAAGTCTCAGGGAGATAAGCGAGACAGGGAGATCCGGGACAGATACCCAGGCCACCCCGTGCCGAGTGTCCTTGCGCCTGAATGTGGAGGCAGCAGGGACGGGTACACCGGGGGCCACTAATAACCTTGAATTTTGGAGACTGGGCAAAGACAGCTGCGACTTGGGACTTCCCTGTGAGTTCCTTGGGAGCGGTGCCTGGGCTCTGCTCCCCTAGCTGCGCCCCGTGGCGCCCACCGCAGGGCCGGCCTGGCAGAAGAATCCTTGCACCGATGTGCCATGGAAACAATGGAAGATGCCCTCCAAACAGGCGCTGGCTGCGGAGGCCAGGGGCCCGGGCAAGGCATGGGTGGCACTAGGGGTGGGCGGTCCAGGTGGCGGGGTCGTCCCCGGCTTTCTCTTCCCGGGCTGGTGGGCGCCCGTCACGGCTGTCAACGCGCGCAGGCGACCGACGGGAAGGGGGCTGGGGCGACCTTGGCCGCGGGGCCGTCCGGAGGGGGTGACGGCGCGGGGGCTGTGGGCTGCGGAGGGGGCACGGCGCCCCGGAAGCAGTTACCTGTAGTAGCTCAAGAGCCCGTTGCTCAGCACGAACCACCGCCGCTGGTAGCCTTTGATATAATTGGTCCACTTGAAGAGCCAGCCTTCCCGAGCCGAGCCCGAGCCCCCAGCGCCCGAGCCGCCCGAGCCCCCCGCCGGCGGCGCAG